TCCAAGGCCACCTGCTCAGTGCTCTTCTAGACACACCCATCCTGCTGGGTGTGCGCGCCCGGGAGCCAGGGTGAGCTGAAGCACGTGGGCCCCTGGGTCCGGTCAGCAGGCTTGCCTATCCCCACTTCACCCCACCAGGCAGGGTCTGCTCAGGGGGCCCCTGTGGGGGAAGGCTGAAAAACGATGGCTTGACCACTATCATAACCAGTCCCTACAAAAGGCAGGCACAAGATGTGGTTGTAGTAGCTCTGTGCCTGGCACCAGGCACTGCAGAAATACAAACTGGAACTGGAAGGAAGGATGGTGCAAAGTCACCAGGATGTTAATGGCTATGAGCCAGCCAGCTAGAGTATATTCATTACCCAAGTCCATTTTTCCCCCAAAAGGTAAGAGATTTGGTCTTGCTTGGGTTCTTTCAGAAAACACAGCTCATTTGTTACTGCCTTTTGGCATTCAACATACATTTATCTCCCCTTTAAGGATTTTAACACACTGAACCCTTATTACATCAGATAGAAGGTTACAGTTTACTGTACATTTTGATAAAATTCAGAAATGGTTGCTCTGCCCAGGACCTATGAAGGCAAACAGACCTAAGAATTGCTCACATTTTACGGAGTACTAAGTGCCAGACACAGTTCAAGGGCTTTTCACACTTACGCCTTTAAATCTCAGACAATGGCATTTGGTGCTGTTACTGTCCTCATGTTATGGCCCAGGAAGTCGGGGCAACGTCACCACAGAGGTAAGGGCTGTAGCTGGTGTGCCGATCCAGACAGGCGGACTCTCCCACTCCAGCAGTGGTTCTGAAGCTCCCTGGGCTCCCTCCCCACCGATGCCAGTGAAACCCCGTGCAGTGACACTTACCAGCTGGGTGAAGACGGTTCGCCAGGAGAGCCTCCAAAACCAGAGCATGGTCAGGCAGGTGCAGTCGCTCCACTCCCACCTAGAGTTAAGGCTGGCTCAGCCAAACTGTGCAGGAATGGAGTATTTGGCCAATTTGATTTTCTCCTTGAGGAATTAACTAGAAAATATTTTTGTTTATCCTTTCCTAGGGAAAATCTGAGGATGTATTATTAGCCCACGCCTTAGTATACCCCAGACACTGAAGGAAATTCTTTGACAATTCACCATCTAGCAGAGTAGAGGTTGGTAAAACTCTTCCTCCCTAGCTGGGCTTTCCCCTTAGGCTAGAGAAACAGTTTTGAACAAAGAAAGGCTCTAGCTTCACATCCCCAGAGGCTGTCGAGAATGGAGCCTGGTGCACAGGCCTGAGAGCGGGCCTTGCTCTGGATGGATTCTAAGCCTGCCTGGGCACCAGGGACCAGCCAGCACATGGTATAGAAATGGGAGCTGCACTGTGATCTGATCGCATCATCCCTGCTTGGGGAATCTAAAGGGAGTGGCAGGGGCAGCCCTTGGCTTTCTTCCTTCTCAAGTTTAACCACTTCGTTACCAGCGTCGACTATAGTCGATAGCCTCAGATGAACACACACAGCCGAGCGTCGACTTTAGCATTAATAACAAAACTTAGACTTTTCTAATTTTTCATTTATCAAAATAAAATTGTGAACATTTAAAAATAACGTAATGAAAACATATATGTATACGTTACCTATTCTGATTTACATTACAAGTAAAGCTGCCTGTAAAGTAAAACAAGCTTTCAGGGCTTTCAAGCTTTCCTTATCACACAAGAGCAAAACGGATTGGACGTCAATGCGCAGCACAAACTATCGTGCGGACTGTGAGTGCCGGCTGTGGGCAAGGTTTCGCGGCCGTTGAGTGCGGTACCAAAGTGGTTAAGAACGTGGTTGCTCCACTAGCCCTGTGAGACTGTTAGCGCCCCAGAGAAGCAGGGAGACTCATCAAGGCAGATCTAAGGACTGGGCTAGTTAACAAGCCTGCTTCCCCCAGTTTCCTCCAAGCACAGCCTTAGAGGGCGCTGGCCACAGAGCCACTTTGCTAATTCAGTTCAGCTGTGCCTAACTTTCCCCAACAGCACACTTTTGTTTGCCAGGTTATTTTGCTTTTGGGACTCAAACCTGAGTGACATGAGGACCACCTGAGAGAGAGCTTGTTAAGCTGACTGTTGGGCCACAGCATGCTTTAGGTCAGAGGAGCTGGAGCCCAGGAATCCTTTTAACAAGCACCCCCGGGCACAACCCAAGGATCCCACTTTGAGTAACACCGCTATAGAGACTTCTGAGCAATCCTGCCTGGGCCTCCAATTATGTCCAGAGCTCCATACGGTGGAAGGGAATGGGCAGAACCTCACTCAGGCTGACACGAGATATGACTCATGCACCCACAGGGACCTCCTCGGTCTTGAAGGGTCAGTCCAGTCCTGGGGTCACCTTGCTGCATCTAGCCACTGTGCCTGGTGAGAATAGGACACATCTCCGAAGAGTGCAAAGCATTTGTGAGACATCAAGAAATCAACCCTGACTCACTCCAGGGAAGGTGTCTGGCAGCTCCATGTTTCTATCTGCAGAGTCAGCTCTGGTCACATGCTTTGTGTAGCTAATGACAATGGGCACCTTAGTGCTCACTTGTGCTGAGGTCAAGCACATAATAAGCATTATCTCATTTAACCCTCCTGACCACCTCATGAGGCTAGTACTATTATCATCCTCATTTTACAGATGTGGAGACCAAGGCTGGAAGAAGTAACACAGCTGCTGAGTGGCAGAGACAGGATTTTGAACCAAGCAGTGTGACTTCAGAGGCCAAGCAGAAAACATACATATTATTAGAAACAAAATCCTGCTTAGTGCAGTCCTAGCTCAGGCTCTCTCTTCTACCACCTATCTTTTCAAACCTGCCCCAGCTGATGACAGCTCTCTGAGCTTAGGTACATTTTTTTTTTTTTTAATGAGACAGGGTCTCACTCTGTCACTCAGGCTAGAGTACAGTGGCATGATCATAGTTCACTGTAGTCTCAAATTTCTGGGCTCAAGTGATCCTCTTACCTCAACTTCCCAAAGTAAGCCACTACAACAGGCTTGTAATTCTTAAGTTGTAGGTGTTTTACATGACTAGCATATCAAGAACTTTAAAAAAGGCTGGGTGCGCTGTGGCTCACACCTGTAATTCTAGCACTCTGGGAGGCCGAGGCGGGTGGACTGCTCAAGGTCAGGAGTTCAAAACCAGTAAGAGCAAGACCCCGTGTCTACTATAAATAGAAAGAAATTAATTGGCCAACTAAATATATATATATAATTAGCCGGGCATGGTGGCACATGCCTGTAGTCCCAGCTAATTGGGAGGCTGAGGCAGGAGGATCTCTTTAGCCCAGGAGTTTGAGGTTGCTGTGAGCTAAGCTGATGCCATGGCACTCTAGCCCAGACAACAAAAGAAAAAAAAAAAAAAAAAAAAAAAGGAGACCCCTTTTAAATACTCTTGCACTTGGGGCAATTGTAAAGGTAGGGAAATATTAGGTGCACCACTGCAAAAGAGAAAATGGTGGCTTTTAACAGGTCCCTCAATGAAGCCACCTGTTGCAGTGACCAAGATCAACAGGTTATCTGGCTCTGCGCAGGAGACTGTCCAGAGAGCAAGGTCAAAAACAAACCAGAGATTACCACCATTGTAAGGGTACAATGGTCAGACTTTGGTGTCCTGTGGGGGATACTTACGCTCGTTTCCTAGACACACGTACAGGAAGGGACTTGGCTGTAACTTTGATTTGTTACCGTCAGCTGAGCAGCCTCCAGCCCAAGCTCTCATGCCTTGTTTTCCATCCAGGCAGCTGCTCCCAGTGGCTCCGCCCTTCCCCCCACCATTTGCTAGTCTGCTCAGCACGGCCGGCCATCAGGTGGTTTGGATTTTCCCGGTGAACCAGCTAGCCATTATGCCCCTGGTCTTCCAAATGGTTTACTGAAATCCAGAGAAGCCTAAACTAGACTCCTCGGTCAGCCAACATGCCAGACCCAGGGACTCACTCTCGGGGACACAATCTCCGTGTCAACACAGCTTCACCTGCAGCTCAGTTCTAATGCCAATCCTGAACAAACCAACTGTGTGGTGTCCAAGTTTATACTTAAACCCAGATACATAAAGAGATACAGTTAAGGGCAATGAATAAGAGGAGGAAAGCATGCTAACCTTGAGGCTTATGCAATCACTCCTTATTCCCATCTTTTTCCTTATTCCAGTCTCTTTCCTCGGCCCTGAAAAGGAGTAGCTTCAACAAATGGCATCTTGCTCTCCCAGCATCTTTGTTGTCCTTAATGAAATCATGGCTTTGGGGGTTTGATGATGTTTCAGATTGCCTCTTGTATAAACACTACCCATCTGCCAATGCCCATAACCAGAGATACTATGGATTTGACATTCAATTGACAGGAGCCCCAGCACTCTCAACCATTCTAAAGATAGTGACAAATCAAAAAACTGATTTGACTTCACTTCCTCCCATGGTCTAAGAACAGCTGTATTTCCTGTCAGCCAGAGAGGAAAGCCAAAGCAAAGCTGTGTTCTGGCCATAATTCCTTTTCCTTCCAAGGTCAAACAAGTTCAGGCTGGTGTTGGGTCCCAGCCTGAGTAGAGCCAACCCGATGCTATTGTAGTCTTCTTGACTTCCAGCCCGTGGCAGCTCTGCTGCCTCCTACTATGCTGGAACTTTCTAGAAACTGAAAGGTCCTGGACAACAGCCACCTCTGAACTGGGCATTCATTACCAGGAGAATCCAAACCACAGCTCTGGGCTACCAATTCTCCCAAGGGTCATTCGTTTAGCAGAAACTAGATCTAGAAATGTTGCTGCAGATAACCCGACATCCCTGTCTGTCCTGTGAACATAGTCACCAGCACCTGTTTATCCACGCTCTCAGGCTGAGCGAAGCCCTCAGAACAAAGAGGAAACAGCTCTTGGTTCTGTAAGCCCAGGTGAGCCACATCCGCTCCTCTCTCGGGAATCCACTTAGGACCAGCAGCTTCCAGAGGGCTCTTCCCTCAGCCACTTTGGCCTTTGCAAGGGCAAGAAGACACCACCACCAAGAAGGATAAAATAAGTTTTTATTTATAGTCTTATAGTAAAGGGGGAAGCCTTAACTTGCAAGACAATTTTTCGGCAGTATGTACAACATACTTTTTATTTCCATGGAATGGAATCAAACACAGACTGAGACTACAGAGTATACACTAGAAATCAGCAAATGCCAGGAACGGAGTAGGAAAACGACAAAGAAATGAGGCCTAAACACACAAAACCCTTCACTGGGATCTGTTGACCACAGCCAGAACCAGGGCTGGATCACACCATGGAGACAGGTTCCAGGACAGCAGGAAAGGAAGTGGGGTGAGGGCAGGAAGGGTCCGCACTGGGGTGCGGGTTAGTACCAGGTAAATTGCTCTTGGTATTTACATAGAAAATCAGTTGGCTCTATTTCTTAGAAATATACATGGAAAGAAAGGAAGATTTGATCATTACTTTATGAATCTGTCGCTTTGCAATATCGACATCATGAGAAATAGGGACAATTCACTCAGATTCAAATTTCAGTAGCAGGAAATAAATATCAAAACATCATCACTGGCCCTCAATACAAAACCTCTACCCCACCCAATACTCCCTCCCTGTCCCACCCCCAAAATAACCACTCCTGGAGGTTGCCGATTCACTGCTGCCGTCTCCCACACATACCCCTAGAGTGTCACGTGGCCCTCCGTAAGGCTGGTACCGCAGGCTTAAACAGCTGGCTGCAGGAGTGAAATGCGAAAGACTCTGCGCTGCAAATTTGTCCCCACTTTCCTTACATGCCACAAACTTCTTTAAGGATCTGGTCTTCCAATAGGAGCGATAAATAGCTTTTTAGAAAAAGAAAAAAAAAATCCTTAAAAAAAGGAAGAGGGGTAATTCTGATTACTCCAATCCGGTTGTCTTCTCAAAGTAGAGCAGTTCACAGATTCACAAAGTCTATCAAACAGAGGTGCGGGTGGACCGGGAGGAGACGCCTGGGCGGGGCAGGCATCCTCCAGGCACGTGCCGGCAGGGCTGAAGGAGCTGGTGGGGTGGGCAGGACACTATGTGCTCAGAGGTCCGGCCGGCCGTCTGTCCTCCACAGAAAAAGCTGCCAAGTTGGGGTGTTTTGGTTTAAAAATTCCTGGTGGGGACAGGGAATCCCTGAAGGGAATACATTAAAAAAAATAGTGGAAATGGGGAAGGAGAAACGAGAGCTGTTGTCCAAGAGCTTCTACGTAAAAATAAAAATTAAAAAAAAAAGGGAGAAAGAGAAAAATAAAGAGTCTCTTAAATGGTTCTGAGGGTTCTAACGATGAACTGAAAGGAGGATGAGACGATGGAGACAGACAGTTTTTATTGCTGGCCTGCCCCGAGTAGCTTAGCTGGCCTCCATCCGGAGTTTCTTCCTGCTTTGGGGCTCTTCAGGCTCCGACTCCGAGCTGGAGTCCGAGCCCCCATCGAAGGCAGAGATGGTGCTGCCCTTGGCGTTGGTGTAGAGGCTGTTGTCTGAGGAGGGGTAGTTGGTCTGCAGCTGGGCACTTGACCTCGCCTTCTCCAGTGCACGGACTAAAAGGCAACCAAGGGAGCGTGTTACCACCTTCTGGAGACTGGGCCCAGACTCAGACTCAGGGTCCAGCCTGTTCTTCCTAAGAGCTTGCTTGCTGGCCCCCAAGGTGGAGGGTGGCTCAGAAGTAATTCCTTCTGGTGGCTGTTCCGCCCACACACTTCACTTCCCTCCCTCCTCTCCCAGCTGGACCTGGGAGCCCAGCAGACATGACCAGTCACTCTGCATTCCCACCCAATGCTGAAGAGAAGGCTTGTGATGTCACCGTCCTGCCATGGAAGCCCAGTGTAGAGACCGGAGCATGTGCTCCTTGTGGGATGCAGCAGTGCAATGACAGAGGAGGAGCTGGCCCAACAACGTCAGGCTCCGCAGGGTGTGAAGGCCACACAAAAGCAGGAAAGGATGACATAAGATGTATCAGCCAAAGGAAAGTTTTGGCTTAGCTCTCATTTGTACATGATCCCACTTGGAATGACAAGCTGGACACTTGGAAGCAAGTATACACACAAAATACCTGGGCCTTTGGACAGATTGCCCCTACATGCAGGCTGCTTGGCCCGGTAACCAACCCACTGATGCCTCCCACTGCCCATCCCTTGTTCAGCTCAGCTGGAGCCTGGAAGGTCAACCCATTTATTTTATTTTATTTTATTTGAGGTTTTCTAACCCAAGTGGTTACTTGCATTTCCTTTTACTTGCATCTTCCATGAGGGAGGAAGAGAAGTGAATTCCCCAGGAACAAAGAACTTGATCAGCTCTCGCTTTCCCCTGTGGTTGTAGGAAAAGGTGGGTGTGAGCATTTGAGAACAGCATGGGCTTGGCCCATAGGCTGCCCTGATTGGACTACCATTGACAATGGGGAGGGCTCACTGTCCCTGAACACCTGGAGTCTCTGGTACTTACATAGCACATTCCACTCCAAGAACCTGAAAGCTCTTTCAGACACCTGATGCCAGGTGTGATCCCTACTGCAGGCAGAGTACCTGAGCCTCAAGAGGGGAGAGATCAGTCAGAAAAGAGTCAAATCTCCAGATGTCTAACTCCCTAGCCTGCACTGGCTCTTCACTGGCGGCTCAGGTCCTTCCTCAGGATGGCTCTAACACTCAACTACTCAGGCCCCAGGAAGCAGGGCCAAGGCTGCTTCTGAGCGCATGCTCCAAGACTGGCTCTGCCTCTGCAGGCCCAGGTGCGAAAGCCCTGACCTGGCCGGAGCACAGCAGGGCTGGCCGCCCCACAGGCTCAGGTGCTCACCTTGCTGCTCCAGAAGAGCATTCTGCCGCTTGAGGTCGTCAATGTCTTGCTGGTGTGTGTGGTTTTTCCTTCGCATATATTGGATATACTCTGTGGCTTTGTCTAGGATTTGGGCCCGGGATGCCTGTTGCAATATGAGAAAAAGCACAGGGGACAAAATAAAGACCAAGTCCAGGGAGTGAGGGAATTTTGCTTTTCTGCAACAGAATGGGTGGCTGGAAACAGGAGGGTGAAATGGGAAAAGGCTAATAAAATAGAAAGTAACGGCTATTTAAGGCTTCTCTGTACTAGACAAGGCACCAAGTACTTTACAGAGCTTACCTCACAAGCATGGTCTCAGAGGTGGCTCCACCAGGAACCCAAGGCTCAGAGAAATGTACTGGTTTATTCAAAATCAGCAGCTAGGCAGTAGCACAGCCTGGATTTAAACTCAGGTCCATCTGACTCCTGAACTATACTTCTCCCAACCCCCTTGGTTATTTAGGTTGCTTTAAAGTCTTCAGCTTGGCTATGTCTGAAAACATTAAAATACTACTTAAATGAAAGCTTAGGCCACTCACTCTGCCAGGGCCTGGCTACAGGCAGCTGGTCCAGAAAGGCAAAAGCAAGATCTCAGTTGGAGCTGGCATGGTATGGGTACAATTTTTTCATCAAGGTCCGAGATTTCAGCCAAATTCTGAACCTTTTATTAACTATTCCCCACTGAACGATGCTGCTGTGTCACTATTTCAGCCTTCCTGGCTAAAGAAACTTTCATGAAAGCTGTCAGTGCTTGATGTCAACACAGGAAGGGCATGAGATTGGGCCATTTCAGGAAGCAAGCACACCTCTACAATGGCTGCGGGTAGCCTGGGTACTGCCCTGTCTGAGGAACAAGATAATAAGGCAGTAAATGTATGTCAGGTTACTGTACTCCTGAAGTCAAACTTGTCTGGGAGATCCCCTCCAGGTTGCAAACATGGCCAGAGTTACTTATGGCCAGGCAGCCAAACTGGTAGGTGGTAAAAAGCCAAGAGAAGCCTAAGGCAAGGCAGTCTAGTAGCTAAAGTCTGGCAATCATGCCACAGAGGCACCTGATCAGCAGGAAAGCTTCTCACTCAGGGTAGGGAGTACTCAGCAATTCTGTATTATAAACCCCGTGGGTCTCAAACAACCAGAACACAATAGGGGGGAAAAGGCAAAGAAAACATCCACACTCAGGCTAGCAAACCAAATATACTCATATTAAATCCTAATAATCTCAATGTATAGACCTCAGGTTGGCTGGGTATCAGAGAGCTTTATAAGGCCTAAATTTATTCACCAGTTCTTGCAAGTACTAGAATTTCTGGGCTTTCTTGTTATAGCACCTTAAGGAAATTTCCTTAAGAGGAAATCCTTCATATACAATCAACCATTTTTATCTGGTACAAATTACATGCAAGGCACTCGGCAGACATTGGGGAAACAAAATGTATTAGTCATGGCTTCTTTGCCCAGAAGCTTGCTTACTATCTAGCTGAGAAGATAAATATATCTATGTACAGACAAATCACAGGGCAGTACTGACAAGTGTAATCTGCCTAGTACAGATTAGAAAGGCCTGGAGAGATGGCTTCTGGCTAGGGCGATTACCCACTGTGTGCCAGGTACTGGCTTTGGCACTGCACATGCACACACACACTCCTATCTGAAATAGTGAATCCTGCACTGGATCGAGGTAGAGTTTATGGGAAAAGGTCACTCTGAGTAGAGAGAATAGCACAGGCAAGGGCATGGGGTGGAGAAAAGCCAGATGTATTTCTTTAGTTAAGTCAACTTATGCAGGAGGAATTAAGAGTACCTAGCAGAGGATACTTCCGATGCTGTTTCCCATTTCTGCAATGGGGCCTTATTAAGGTCTAATTATTAGGTGATAACATAGGAAAAAAGGACACATAATGAGAAGGGGTCTAATTAAAATACCCTGCTTCTCCAGATTCTAGAGATGGAATTAAAAATGATTAGTATTGGCCGGGTGCGGTGGCTCACACCTATAATCCTAGCACTCTGGGAGGCAGAGGCAGGCGGATCGCTTGAGCTCAGGAGTTTGAGACCAGCCTGAGCAAGAGCAAGACCCTGTCTCTAATTAAAATAGAAAGAAATTAGCTGGACAACTAAAAATGTATACAAAAAATCAGCCGGGCATGGTGGCACATGCCTGTAATCCCAGCTACTCAGGAGGCTGAGGCAGAAGGATTGCTTGACCCCAGGAGTTTGAGGTTGCTGTGAGCTAGGCTGACGCCATGGCAACAGAGTGAGACTCTGTCTCAAAAAAAAAAAAAAAAAAAAAAAAAGGATTAGTATTATACCAAAGGAAGAAGAGTGGCAAGGAAGAATCTGGGAATTCAGCAGACAGGTATACCCTAGACTCTTCATTAATAGGTTCTGCGACTGCAGATATAACATTTCTCTCCATGTTTACTCCTTATCTGACAAGAAGTTCCCTAAGAGCCCACCTAGGCCTCCAAATTCTACCCTTTCCATCACTGGTGTAACTGCTATGCACATATACACCCCAGGCTCTCTTTAAATTTGTCTATTTTAAAACTATTTTTTTAAGCAACAGTTCCCAGAAGGCAACATTAGCTCTTATGTAACAACTCCTATGCATCTGGGACAAGGGAAAAAAAGCAAAATCTCTGAAACCAGAGAGGATTTGCAAATATTCAGTGATAACTTTTCATGAATGATCAGACTGAGTAGTGGCCTTCATGTTGCCAGTTTTTCCTTCAAATATTTATCCATGAAACCATGAAATTAGAACCAAGAAGTAAAAAGTGAACAGTAAGCACAGCAAAACAAGCCAGAAGAGGGAAAAAGATCCTGCGAGTGATAGCGGTTTCCACTTAAGGGTAATTTTTGGATGAAGATAAAATTCATGGATGCTCAGAATATAGAGTACCTTGGGAATAACAGGTTCCCAAAGAAGGCTGGGTTAGTTTAAACCCAGCATGAGGCCTCCTGAATGCTAAACACAGACCTTCCTCCAACCTCTGCTAAAAAAGCAGAAGTGCCCCAGGTCACTCAGGGTGTCTCTGACACATCAAGTAGTCCAAAAGAATACTTCAGCGGTAATTTTATTTTGCCTTTCCCAGGGTACTCAACAAGAATTAAAATCCAACAAGAAAAAATTTAAAGTACAAAATACAGAATTCCCCCAAATTTCCACATGCATGTAGTCCAGGGAAGAAAATGGAAAAGGTTGAAGCTAAAAATGCTAGACTCATCAACATCCCCTCCTCCCATCTTTCCAAACCACACAAGATCATGTGATCAACCACAGCAGTAGGTGTGGGTAGGGTAGGCCCTTCCTTGCCTTAATGAGTTTATAATATGTGACTGGTAAACATGAAGCCAGCAAGAAACCCTGGGATTTATGGCATGGACTATGAACAGCCCCAGGCTTTCAGTTTCTGTTCCCTGAAAATGCTCTCAGTCAGCTGAGTCAACTGACAATCTCCATGTGAGTGTGACTGACCAGACAGAACTTGGTAATTCAACATATTCACAGATCAAGTGTTGCCTCTGGGTACTTGACAAGGACCTGAATAATTTTTTTCCTGCTAGTGTTTACAATTAGAAGGTGCTAATTCTGATTCTGCCTTTCTGAGCAAAAATGGCTCTCCTGAATGGTTTGGATACAACCCTGAGACAAGACTGACTATGGCTGACGGGACTGAAAAGGTAGTTGGGCCTCCTACATGAGTACTCTTGTGTAAATGCAAAGTGACTCCTCAGACCTCTTGTTCACCTCTGGGAGCCACAAGAAAGGATGCTGGACAGCCTTGCCAGATCTTATTCCAAAGCAATACAAATGATGCCAATGCCAATGATAATAATGACAGCAGCTAACACTTACTGAGTACTTACTAAGTGCCAGGCATCCTCACACAACCTTCTGATATATTTTTTTCCCTATTTTATAAATGAGGAAACTAAAGCACAGAGCTGTAACTTACACAGTGGTATGTAACTAGTAGGAAGTAGAGTCATGATTTGAACCCAGGACTCCAGGACACCTGTATTTAGGGAACATACAGGCTATAGAACTAATTAAAAAGATCAATAGGCGACTTCTGGGGCCCCCCTCTTGGGGCCCCAGAACCTCGTTTCCCCCCAAGAAAAAGAAGAAAAAAAAAAAAGGAAAAAGATCAATAGAATCACAGGGATAGTGTTGTCATGGAGGGGAAAGTTCGAGAAGGAAAAGGACTATGAAGGAATCTCCTGATTTGCCTACAAGGGTGTCAATGGAAGACCCTAGTGAAGGTGGTTTCCTTGGAGGAATGAGTTTACCAATGGGGTAAATTGTCTCCCCACAGCTAACAGCTGCAAGAGTGAGATGAAGATTGTTTTTCTTTGTCTTTTAAAGACAGGTGAGAACCAAACAGGCTTCTAATAGAAACATATTGAAAGGAAAAGGCTGAAGATGCAAGCTAGCTTGAGAGCACTGATTGAACTTGGCCCTGGCGCTATGTCAGCTTCCCACAGTGCTGCTGGCTTCATTACTTCTTGGCAGTCCAGAAGAAGGGTAAAAGCAAAATGGACAATGGAGAAGACCCAGGGTGTGGCAGAGGGTCCAGCAGGTTCCTGCTGCAGGCGGCCTATTTGCACCCCTTCCTGTGGCAGCAGGGAGACAGGGGAAAGTCAACCCATCCTCCAGAGGCACCCACTTTCACAGACCTCTGCCTTAGAACACAGTCCACCCACCCTATATATCACAGCAAGAATGGACTACATATCTCACAAAAGACCTCAAACCCAAAAGAGTTTGATTCTAATTAGAACCTTTTAAGGTCCCAAAGGACTCCTGAAGTAGTTGACAATGATGATTAGTATGAAGTCCAAGGCTGATAAATCTCATTTAAGACAGTGGCTCTCAAAAATGTTCATATGTTAAGGCAAGAGTTCCAAACACTTCTGGAGTTGTAAATCTTATTACAATAACTTGAATTTGTATAAATATCCAAGTTGTATCACCAGGCACGGTAACATGCACCTGTAATCCCAGCTACCAGGCAAGCTGAGGTGGGAAGACTGCTTGAGCCCAGGAGTTCAAGACCAGCCTGGGCAACATAAATGAGACTCAGTCTCAAAAAAGAAAAA